TTAATACTTCTTTAACATATTTACTTTGGTGAATCAAAATCTCTTTCTTGCCTTTGATAAACTCCATACCCAACAAATACGACAACCTCCCTATATCAGTCATCTCAGATTGATCTTTCATCCTTCTTTTGAAATCCTTGATCAATGTAATTTTGTTGTCTGTTATTAATATATCATCGACATATAAACATATTATTAATACTTCATCACTCTTTATTTTTAAATAAATTTCATACTCAACTTCACACTTTGAGAATCCTTGTTATCGAAGAAAACTAGATTTTGATGTTCTAGGCTCTTGGAGCCTATTTCAAACCATACAAAACCTTCTTCAATCTAAGTAGGTTTTATTCTTCTTCAGTAATCACAAATCATGGTGGTTGTGTAACACATACTTCCTCCTCCAATACACTATTTAAGAATGCATATTTAACATTTATTCGATGCATTTCTCATCCTCTATAACTTACAAGAGCTACTCCAGTTCTTATTGTCTCCATCCTAATCACTAGTGCATAAACTTCTTTGTAATCCAAGCCTTCTCTCTTAAGAAAACCTTTCGCCACAAGTTTGACTTTATACCTTGCAACTATTCCATCTGACTTCAACTTTGTTTTATATACTCATTTCACACCTATTGGTATTTGATTCTTCGACAAATCAGTTAATTTCCATATATGATTCTTCTCGATTACAACTAACTCTTCTTTCATCGCTTTTATCCACTTAGGATCTTCAATCGCATCTTCAAAGCACACTAGTTCACGTTCAATCTTAGCTTATAGAGGAAGATGAACTAGATCATTTTTATCCTCAGTTTCTCTGATAATTCATTCAATTACTGTAACTATATCATTAGTATTTAGCACATCGTCAACGAGTCTTACTGGTGCTTTTATCGATCTTGTTGGTTGATTTCTCTTCTCGTCAATTTCTTGAATCAATCAATTTGTCCTCTCATTGATTTCTAAAATCGACCGATCTCTTTCCTCAATTTCTTCATCATAAGAAACATCAAAACATCAATCTCTGTTAATGATCATCTTCTTCATGATAGAATTATACAACTTATAAGCTCCTGTTGGATGATATCATACCAAAATTAGTTTCACGCTTCTATCATCGAGTTTTCTCCTCCTTTCGTCGGGAACATGTCTCTAAGAAATCGACTCAAACACCTTCAAATGCTTTACATTTGACTTTTTTTCCAACCAAACTTCTTCTAGTGTCTTCTCCTTAACTCTCTTAATTAAGCATCAATTCAAAACGTAAGATATAGTAGTCACTACACCCTAAAAAGAATGTGGCAGACTTTTGTTTTAGAAGATACTCCCGACTATGTTAAAAATCAGTCGATTTCTTCTTTTAACAACATCATTGTATTATGATGTATATGAGAGTATAATTTCATGCAAAATAATCTTTTCCTTAGAAAATGATACAAATTTACTATTATTATATTCATGACCATCATTCGATCTCAAGACATTAATAACTTTATCATTTTGTTTCTTGACCAACTTTCTAAACTCAACAAAACTATTAAAAGCTTCTTATTTTATCTCGAGCAAATATAACCATATTTTCTTACTGAAATCATCAATGAACGTAACAAAATACCTATTTCCACCAAATGAGGATACATCGAAAGGTCTACACACATCAGTAGAGATGACTTCTAATACTCCTTTACTCCTAGTCTCGATATATGTTGAATTATTGACAAGCGTACCAAAATTATCAATCGCAGTATAGTATTTCAATTAAATAAAAGTCGATCCCACAAGGAACGGTTTCAATGGAAATTCCCAATTATATGCTTACTAAATATATTAAAACAGAATGGGTTTTTCATAAAGAGTTGAATTGAAATCAAAGGACAAAAAACTGTAAATTATTGAAAAAATATTAATTAAAGGTACTTAGGATTGACTTCCTTCCTTATCCCTCTTTTGTAATGGCTAAATCAATTAAGAACGTCAATTAACCTAACAATGATGATGCCACCTACTCAAATCATCCATGTTGATTCCTCACACATGAAATTCATAAGAAAACCTAATAAATGTTGATTCCTCACACATGAAATTCATAAGAAAACCTAATAAATGTTCATTCCTCACACAATTAAGATATTTTCCAGCATTATGGTTAGGGTGTTAAGCAATTGATACATTCATTCCATTCCTGGCAATTAACGTAACAAATATTCTTATCGTGATCTAGGGTTCAAGATATATTTTCCAATCATACCCTAAACATCAAGAATAAATCATTTCAAAGCATAAATGATAAGAATAACAATATCAAAGCATAGATTAATATATCAGAATATCACCATGATACAAAAGAGTTCAAAGGAAGTGCACTCAATCCCAAGAGAATGAAGTTAGTCACTCATGTTGCCCATTACAATGCTCTAATTGATGAACAAGTGAAGAATTGATGAAGATTAGACAAAACCCTAACATTAGTCGTGTCTCCTCCTCTCCAAAACTGCTTGCTTTCTCAAAACACATATTATCTTTTTATAACAGAATTTGGGTCGGGCCTCGCATCATTCATTCGCTTAAGCGTTCTTCTTTCTTTCAATTTTTATTCAATTACTTCACAATTATACTCTTTACTCTTGTATCAAGGTATTCTCGAATTCATCCCTTATTGGGAGAAAAATATATTAGAATTAACATAAGTTAAGTGGTTTCATAACAATTCAAGGCATAATTATATCAACTTTTTACCACTTAATCTCCCTTGTGTATAAACCACACATAGGATAATCTATTTATAATAAAGAGAGGTACAACTAAAAGAATAACTGAAAATAAACAGAATAAACAGAAGATATTGTGATTAACAATATCTAACAATATCTTAACAATATCAAACAATATCTAACAGTAACATTAAGAAGGTTTAATGTTGACAATGCCAGAAGGAGGAGCCATGTACACCTCTTCATTCAAATCTCCATGAAGAAACACATTACTTAAATCTTGATGAAGATGTCATTGCTTAATAGAAGACATAACAAGAATGATTCATATGGTAACTATCTTAACCACAGTGAAAAAGTTTCAAGTTAATTAGTCCCTTAGTCCCCTTTGTTTGAACATTATTCTTTTGCAACTAATTGAACTTTATATCTTTCCACGCTCCCATTATGATTCCTCTTAATTTTGTAAATCCAATTGCATCTAATGAGACGAATGTTTAGGGGTACATAATATTTCAAGCTTTGTTCAATTTGATCGGCTTCATCTCATATTGCATTATCTCACTAAAGCCTCTTGATAACTCATTGATTCAATTGATAAAGTCATTAGATAATGGCGATGTGAGGAAAAAACATAAGAATAAGACGTAATCATCAAGAATGGTTAGAAAATATTTGTGACCATGCCACTTGACTTCTCCCTTTGATTTTATTAAAATAATCTATGTGTAACGACTATAATCATTAAGAATGATTAGAAACCATGTATAGAAGCTTTAGAAAAGGATTCCTAAATATCCATATGAATAAAATAACCTTCTTTATCTAGCTAAATGACAAACATCACAAATTTTATTGAAAAGACTAAGAAATAAAAAGAAATTGTTGGTGTAAAATATTCAATTTATTTCTAACTTAATCTATAATGACAAATGTTTGAGACAATAACGATAGAACATGTGTTGTTCATTAAGGAAGACTTAAATTTTTGAGATAACTTATATTTGTTAATATTAAAACGATAGATGTTTATTTTCAACTTACAATAATTCAGAATCAAAGATAAATTTAAACTTCACAAGATAATATAATAATAATCAAATATTATATTACTAAATTTCATATTGAAGGTTATAATAATATTATCATATATATTCGAAAAATTTTAAAAATATAATATATTAATTTCTAATAGAAAAACTTAACTTTATCATTGAAATGAAAATTTTATTATTTTTTAATATATTCCAATGATGGCTTTAATGGTAAGTTTCAAAGTTGTAGCATGATCTGGATTTATAGAATAAATAGAGAAGTGGATCCTCATGTATTAACATAAGTGGAGCAATGAGATATTTTTATATGCTTAGATGTAGTTAATATGAATGAAAGTTTTCTTTTCCTATTCTATTGGCATACATCACAAGGAAAAGATGAAGCATAAGTCTCTGATGCCAAGTTTGAGGATCATTGTCACTAGCTGAAAAATTATAGCATGCCTTGAAATATGATTGTTTTAGTTGCATCACTGACTCGACGTTCCAGCAAATGTAACCCATCATGCTGCTTAGTTAATCATTTTCTTGGAGGAAATCTGATGAAACAAAATGAAAAAATTAAAAATTAAAACAATGCGACTTTTTAAATTTGGCAGCAAATGAGATTGACTTTTAAAGGCTGGTGGTGGTGTATCAAACCCCATCCCACACACTCCTTGCTAATCTTCACTACAACGCACATTCATATTACCAAAACAAATCCATTGAATGACATCCCTATTATGCCCAAGTTGATGAACAGAATAATCTCAAGGAAGGAAATGATTGATACAAGAACCAAAGCCCGGAGAAACATCACCAAATCACCAAATCATGTATGAGCCTGGAGGTGATGCAAGATGCTACGTACGTAATTCGATTAAATGCTTAGTTTGGGCAGGTTACATTAATTACTAAACTGCCACGCCATAAATAAAAAAGAATAATAACTCTCTTACATTATTATTATTATTATTATTATTATATCTCAATACACAGAGATTTAAACAAAAGGACAGAAATGACAAATAGACAACCATATATAATTGAAAATATTAATATAATAATAAATAATATTATATTTATATAATAAAGTATTATACCACTTGTCAAATAAACATTTCACTTAATATTATTAAAACAACCATGCACAAACCAAGAATAGTTATGGTAGCCAGTGTACCATTGACTTAGAAACAGCGTTTTCCCTTCAGATCTCAACTCTGGTGTTTGCGTTTCTGAGAACAATGGCTGAATCATTTCTCTTCACCATCGCGGAGTCCCTCCTAACAAAGCTTGCTTCTCATGCATTTGAAGAAGCTTCTCGAGTGGTGGGTTTATACGACAGTCTTCAAGATTTTAACGACACTCTCTCTATAGTCAAGGCTGTGCTGTTAGATGCTGAACAAAAGCAAGAGCACGACCATGAGCTGCGGGCATGGCTCAATCAGCTTAAAGCTGTCTTCTCTGATGCCGAAGATATGCTGGATGAATTTGAGTGTCAAACACTACGAAAGAAAGTGGTCAAAGCTCATGGCAACACCAAAGAGAAGGTAAGTCACTTCTTCTCAACCTCTAATCCTCTAGTTTTTCGTTACAAGATGGCTCACCAAATTAAAGATCTCACCGAAAGACTAGACAAGGTTGCAGAGCGTAGGAGTAAGTTTGGTCTTCAAAAAATTGATGCTGATACACGTGTCGTTCATACTAGAGAAATGACACACTCCCGTCTGAGTGATTTAGATGTGATAGGAAGGGAACACGACAAAGAAAAGATCATAGAGCTTTTGATGCAGCAGAATACTGATGATGATGATACTAGTCTCTCTGTTGTCCCCATTGTGGGAATTGGAGGCTTAGGAAAGACTACACTCGCAAAGTTTGTGTTCAATGACAGCAGGATCCAGGAGTGTTTCCCATTGAAGATGTGGGTTTGTGTTTCTGATGACTTTGACGTTAAGCTGCTGAGTATCAAAATCATCAATTCTGCCAATGATCTAGCTTCTGCTGACGCTCCTCCTCACCTACAGAATTTGAACATGTTGGATCTGGAACTACTGCAAAAGCAACTGACAAACAAACTTTCCGGTAAAAAATTCCTACTCGTCTTGGACGACGTTTGGAACGAAGACCGTGTTAAGTGGATGGAGTTGCGGAATTTAATCCAAGTAAGTGCAGTAGGAAGTAAAATTCTAGTGACCACACGCAGTGCTTCAATTGGTTCCATGATGGGCACAGTTCCCTCTCACATTTTGAAAGGCCTTTCTCAAGAGCACTCTTTGTCTCTCTTTATCAAATGGGCATTTAAAGAAGGAGAAGAGAAAAAACATCCTCGCTTAGTAGACATTGGCAGAGAAATTGTGAAAAAATGCAGAGGGGTTCCTTTGGCTGTGAGAACATTAGGGAGTTTACTATTCTCCAAATTTGAGGCTAGTGAATGGGAATATGTGAGGGATAATGAAATTTGGAATTTGCCTCAGACAAAGGATGGCATTTTACCTGCTCTTAAATTAAGTTATGATCTCATGCCGTCTTATCTAAGGCAATGTTTTCCATTGTTTTCTCTTTACCCAAAGGATTATGAATTCAACAGTTTTGAGGTGACTACTCTTTGGGGGGCACTCGGACTCCTCGAATCACAAAAAAATAATAGAAGGCTGGAAGATGTTGCCAACCAGTATTTGTATGAACTACTATCGAGATCTTTTCTTCAAGATTTTGCGGACAATGGCACTGTTTATGGATTTAGAATACATGATTTGATGCATGATCTTGCTCTAACGGTTGCAAAAGATGAGTGTCTACAAATAAATTCCATCATTGAAAACATTCCAGAGAATGTTCTGCATCTGTCTTTTGTTGAAAGTAATCTGTTTGGAAATTTACGAAGGAGAAAAGCACTACCTGTGAGAACCGTACTGTTTCCAAATGGTGCAGAAGATGCCAACTGTGAAGCTTTACTAAAGACTTGTTTGTCAAAGTTCAAATATTTGAGAGTTTTGGATTTAAATGGTTCGACATTGGAGACTTTGCCCCGTAGCATTGGTAAGTTGAAACACTTGAGATATTTGGATATTAGCAAAAGTCAAATGATTAAGAGACTCCCCAATTCTATATGCAAGCTCCAAAATCTGCAAGTGTTGAAGCTTGACGGGTGCATGAAGCTGGAAGCATTGCCCAAAGGACTAAGAAAGTTAGTAAGTCTCCGGCATTTGGAGTTCAGCACAAAGCAATCTGTTTTGCCTGAAGATGAGATTGCTAGCCTGGGCTTGCTTGCAAATCTGTCTATTGAATCAAGCCGTAAATTGAAGTCTATCTTCGAAGGGGTGAAATTCCCTGCTGTTAAAGTATTGAATGTCAGTGACTGTCAGAGTCTAAAGTCTTTGCCACTGGATGGTACACATTTTCCTGAATTAGAAACTTTGTTTGTTGAAGACTGTGATGATTTGGACTTGGAACTGTGTAAGGGCCACAATGAAGCACAGAGCCCCAGGCTGAAGTTAAAAACTGTTGAATTTTCAACTTTATCACAGCTACTGGCCTTGCCTAAATGGCTTGAAGAAGCTGCCAACTCCTTACAGTGTTTGCATATTTCAAATTGCGACAACATTGAAACACTTCCAGACTGGCTGGCAACTTTCACCAATCTGAAAACACTTTGTATAACAGATTGTCCGAAGTTGGTATCTCTCCCAGATAACATCCATCACCTCACCACACTTGAAAGCTTGAGGATTGAAGGTTGTCCTGACTTGTGCAAAAAATATCAGTCCCATGTTGGAGAGTTGTGGCCCAAAATATCACACATCAAAGACACTTTCATTGATAATCCAGAAGAGCTGGAGAAGAATTAGAGGGAGAGCAAGACCAGGAGGCATGCATTAATTAAGGACACAGATAGGCCATGAATCCCCTTCTTTTTTGCTGTGTGGAAGTACTTTTTTTAATGATGACTGGTGCTTTTGATCCTTCTCTTAATATGTTTTGTATTTGGTTACATATCTTTTATTGTCCCCTCTTTTTTTAATTTGAGTCTTTATGTGGCAAAGACATTTTAATTTAGAACCTCCGGTGACAGTTGTGTAATATTGGAATATTTGCTTATTTGTTTTACTTCTAGATTTACTTGCATATAATCCCTGAAACAAAAAACATGTAGTATTTCTTTTATGTGATAATACAATTAAATGATTAATATATATTATTTTAAAGTAAATTTTTTCATAGGAAGTACATTTTTTATAATCATGAATGAAAACCATACTTTTACAATTTAACCTTATCCACTTTTACAATTTCTTATATTTTGAAAAATGTTTTCTGTCAATTTTACATAAAAAATCAAATGAGTTTTGTACGTATTTTTGCACATACTTTAATTAATATATAATAATGATAATAATACACTAATTAGTAGAAGTTAAATTGTAACAGTATTAATAAATCGCTATAATTTATATAATTGTGGCAGTCAATTATAACCATTACTATTTATCAATTTTTCTATGTACCTTCGAGAGTTGAGATTTGAGTGCTAGCAGAGAGAGACTCCTAATCGGAGTTTTGAAATTTAAATAGACGATGTAATTAGAATTATGTTCACATGGTCCAATTTTAATTTGACGTCGCATCCTTCTTTCTTGAAGAGTTGCTGCAGGCGATCTAGATTGTACCTCCAGTAGAACTGAACCACCGGTTTGGCAAGGCCACTATCGCCAACACCATCAACGAGCTTCATGTCCTCCATAATGGCGATAAACATGTCAGAGGCGGCCTCCACCATTTTCTCGTGGAGGAGTGTGTAGCCGCGGCCTTTGACGAGATTGAGGTCGAGGTCGACCTCGTTGGCACAATCGATGGCAAGAGGGAGGCGTGGATTATTGTCGAGGATGGAGAAGGGATGCCTTCTGGAGTTGAGATTTCATTGCCAGCAGCAAGGAAATCCTTAATTCGACATTCGTTGGTTTGATTATTATCTGTTTTCGTTTCTCTTTGGATTTACTGCTTTAATTGGATCATGTGGATAAAAACATACTGTTATGATCATTGTGTGGTGCTCCTTGTTGCGATTGATGATCTGTTGTTGTTATAGAAAAATTATATTTGTGGCTCTATTGTGGATAACCCTTAGGCTGAGATTTTTGTAATTAGTGGAGATGGTATAGCACAGAGTGGAATTGGTAATGCGTAGAAATTGGTGGGGATTGTGGGATTCTTGCCTTCTGATTTTGGTACCTTGAGGAAGTGTGCTTATTTGCGGTCTAGTTTGTCCCAGATTATGGCTTTGAGGCCTAACTTGCAGATGTATGTGACTGAAGCTTTGTTGTCTTGGTGCCAAAGGCTCCATGTTGGCAAGGTTCCTGACTTGGATTATAGCAAGGAAAGATGTTTCTGCATAATCACTACTTATGCCTTGTGGTTTTGTTGTTCCTTGTACCTCCTGTGCTGGTTCTTATCTTTCTTGGATTGAATCAAATTGATGGTGTTTCCTTTGAAAATTTTACGATGTCGAGTGATTTACTGTCCAGATTTGCTTCCTTCAAGGAAGTGGCTTTGTTTTTTGCCTTGGTGGGTAACTTTCCTTTAGGCACGGTTCTCCTTAGTGATCCTTATGCTACATTGCCACTGTGTTTTATATGTTTCTTAATTAAGCCTTTGTTGTCCTGAGTGCGACTTATTGGGCCTTTCAGTGAGCTTTTTATTGTAACTTGAATCCTTTCATTCTGAGAGGAGTGTTGGACTTGTAACACAAGTTTTGAACGATATCATTCTTTAGCAAATACTAGGTTTCAAGTATAACTAAAGCATATAGAAAAGGTGGTGGCGCAACAGAAGCTGAAATTATAGTTGTTACAAAACTGGCAAATGCACACAAGTTCAAGTAACCTACATACTATTAAAAAAACAACTTTTATTGAAGTTATGATTAAACTAATCATCTAAAACCATATGAATAAGTATGCAGGGTTATGATACATTACTAGTGGGAGAGGGATTCAACTATCTGGAGGACAAAAGGAGCACATGCAATTGCGAGAGTCATAGTGAAAAGTCCAAAAATATTATTTCCAGATAGGGATAGCAAAACGGGTCAGACCCGGCGGGACGGGTTGGTGTTTTTAGCCCACCAACTCGCTTTGACCCGTCCTGTCAAGTCCGTCAACCCGCCGGGCCAACTCATGGATGAGACGGGCCAGCCCATGACTCTGTCTAATTAATAAAAAAATAAATTTTTATTGTAATAAAATTAATTATAAAGATAATATATAAAGTTAAAATTTTTAAAAAGAGAATTAAAAAAGTTTCACTCTCACGTAACATATTCTCTTTATCGAAACATAACATTCTTTCTCCTGTTCTTCTTCTAAGACTCGATTATTTTTATCCTTATAACTTGAATTAAAGGTATAAGAATTACTCAACTAAGAATAATGTGAAGTTTTATCAAATAAAAAAGATATAGGTATTTGAATTTTTCAATATAAAAAATATAAATTTTATAAGTTTTAACGTTATATATATATATATTTGTTATTATTTATTATTATGTAAATTTTATTATTGTTCTAAATTATAATTTTTTAAAACAATGTATTGATTTATATTATTAAATTGAAATAATATATATATATATTTTGAATTATTGATAAATAAATAATAATTTTATTATTAAATTTATTAAAAAAATTATTTTAAAAAATAAATTATTATTTTTTAATTATGGTATGCTAGTCCACTCCTTGATGGAATGGACCAAAGTCTATAGCCGTCATGACTATAATGGGTCAATCTGTCTCACCCTACTTTTGGCAGGCTAAAAGCAGGACGAACCAAAACAGGATGAGCTAGCCCGTTTTGACATCCCTGCTACCACATGAAGCCACCAGTTGCATTTGATGCTGAGTCTAAAAGAGTGGTACAGGATGCACGTGATCAAGTGAGGGTTGACAGAATCATTATTGTGGTGGCTCACAGGTTATCCACCATAAAGTAAAGGATGCATTCAATTGCACTGGTTAAAAAATGGAGTCATTGAAGAGGAAGGAAAGCACGAAAACCTTGCTTAACAAAGGTGGTACATAATTAAGTGACACTTTTGTTTCTAGCAGTTTTAACTTCTAAAATCTAAATTATATATATATATATATATATATATATATATATATATATATATATATATATATATATATAATTCATGGATAATACCAAGTGATTCGAAATTAAAAAAAAAAAAATTAGAGGAGAATCTTTTATAGAAAAAAAAAATGTATAGGATCTTTCCCAGAGAAAAAAGTCACTAGAAAAAAAATCTACAAAGTCCGCATATTATAAATTCCAAATTTACCAATGATTTATCTAGCAGAATATTTTTTAAGCAAGTTTCTTGCGGATTTAAAAACAACATTTAAACTAGATATATTTTTAAAATAAACTTAATGGATTGTATCTTAATTTATTTAACGCATGGGTGTGGATTTTACAACTAATAAGTACTTATTTAGAAGGTAATAGTTGACTGAAAATTGACATTAGTAAACTGTTTGCAAGTATATCATTATTTTCTGTTTAGCAAAGATGTAATTCCCTAGTTAAAGAAAGATTAATATAAACTTTGAATTCTCTGTATGAAAAGAGAAATCATACTGTAGATAATTTTCCGCATAAAAATTCGTAGGTATATTTACTGATATTTTTTGTGAATGATTTTTTTGAAAAAAATTTATATAAAATAAGGAATTTACTTGTAACGAATAAACTGGTGAGACATATTAATAGTTTTAATTTAATTAATTAATTTAATCAATTAGTTTGTTTTGATTCCATTTAGTTGCCTAACATGATAAGACTAAAAAAATAAGATTATAAGGATAAGATAATGTGACATGATATGTTACTATGTTTTTAAAAAATATTTAAAATAAAAAATTATCAATAAAAATATTACATATTTTTATATTATATTGTTAAAATATAGTATAATATTATAATTTAAATAATAAATACTAATAATTAAATTTAAATTATTTATTATAATTAAGTATTTTAATATGTAAATATAATAATTTTTTAAATTTATCTAATAAGAATATTAATTAATAAATAAAAATATAAAAATTATTTATATAATTAAAGATATATTTTTAAAAAATTAATATAAATAATTTTATATAAAAATATATATTCATGAATTAGCACGTCAATTTATCTTTTTAATTATGATATACTAGTCTACTCCACCCCATTTTTTATAAGTTAGAACATAATAGGTCAAGATAGGATAAACATATTCATTAGGACATTAGGATTCAATATTATATTCATATTATTATCTAATTTAAAACTCTAATTTATCATTTTTTAAAAAGACAGATTAAAAGAAAAAAAAATATAAATTATCATTTATCAATTTTTTAAATTTGAGACTTATAAATTTCCTGAAACACTTTGCTTTGTGAACGAAGAGGAGTTGAAGATTTGAATGCGCAGATTTAACATAATAATTATAAAACATCAAATAATTTGTTTAGGTTCAGCTTTATTCAATTTATCTTGACCAAGCTTTTCCATAGTTGGTAATAAAATGTTAAATCGTTGGTAATTAATACTATGTTTCTATTGGGTATTTTGAATTAATTAATTATTTAAATGAGGTAGAATATGTTTCTATGAGATATTTTAAACTAATTAGTTATATAATTAGTTTCTATTCAATAACTAATTATAGTTTCAAATTCTTTTGTTCAGACAACCAATGAGACAGTTAGATTATAGGCAGGCCAAGGCTTGAATGGGCAAAAGACATTTTGGAGGTCCCACAACATATTTTAATAATTAATTATTATAATTATTTAATATTTTTTGTAACCACAATCTCAATATATAATTAAAAATCATATTTTGAAATGTTACCTCAAACAACCTAAATCCTACTCACCTTTTATATATATATATATAGAGAGAGAGAGAGAGAGAGAGACCCTTTTGGTAAAATACAAGTCTTCTGTGCCAGAACGGAAGCATTCCTTGCATAGTTTAAGCATACAGACAGAAAAAAATAGTTCACCTTGTTGGAGGTGAGCTATCTATTCCCTGCTCGAGATCAATTCAAACAAATAATGCAAGTTCAGACATTTCTAGAAGGTTAAAGGCATCCTCAAGAACAACAACATACATGATGTAAACCCAAAACAGAGAAAAACCAGCTTTTATCAGCTTCTAAAAGCTTACCTCGGTTTCTTTTTTTTTTTTTTTTCCTCACTCCAATTCTTCTATCCCTTCGTTCTCCTCTTCTGGTTCCTTAATAGTTAAGTGTTGGCACGATTCAGGATTACCATCAATTTCCAATCGCTCAATGGTGGAGAGGCGATGGATGTCATCATGGAGGGACAACATATTAGGACAACTTGTGACACACAGTGTTTTTAGGGAAGTCATAGCTGATAGCCATTGAGGAAGCCCCACAAGATTGTTACAGCTTGAAATTAACAAGTACTGCAATGTATCCGCGGAACCTTGAAGCCAATGAGGCAAGGTCACCAACTGTGGCAATGAAATGAAATTTACAACCTTCAACCTCAAGTTGGAATTTTGGTTGTTATGTTCCTTTGACAACTCCAACAAGTCACAGTTGTCAACTAACAAAGTCTCTAATTCAGGAAAATGTTCAATATCAAGTGGCAAGGACTTTAGAATCTTGCAATAACTAATACACAATGCGTTGAGAGTAGGGAGTTTAATCCCTCGAAACAAAGATTCCAAATTGTTGCAAAATTCGATTCTGAGAGTCTGAAGAGAACTCAAGTTTGCAATCTCATCCTCTGGCAAAACACGTTGCTTTGTGGTTATCTCCAGATGCTGAAGACTGATCAATTTTCTTAAACCTTTAGGCAGTGCTACAAGCTCTGTACATCCACTAACTATCAAAACTTGCAAATTTAGAAGGTTACAAAGAGAATCAGGAAGTCTCTTTAAGATTTTATTATTTTCAAGACTGAGATATCTTAAATGTTTCAACTTGCCAACATAACTAGGCAAAGTCTTATACATAGAATCGCTTAAATCTAAAAACCGCAAGCGATTGCACCGTGACACACATTTAAGCAAAAATACTTCACTGTTGGCTCCTACTCCTGGGGTAGGAAATAGTATGGTTCTCGCACCAACAAATTTGTGGACTGGAAAATTTTCAATCCCAACATTTTCAGGAAAAGATAGATGCTGGATATACCTGTGTTCGGGTCTAAACACAAAGGGGTATCTTACCATGATGGAGTTTTTTCCCAAATAACGTGCGATATCATGCACCAAATCATGTATTTTAAAAGTAAAACCAATGCCATAGTCAACAAAATCTTGTAGAAAAGATCTTGAAAATAGTTCACAAATATATGGATTTGCACCGTGTTTCAATATTTGATTTCTATTTGGTAATGGAAGGAGATCAAGTGCTCTCCAAAGTGAAGTAACGTCAAAACTATCAAATACATAGCCACATGGATAAAGGTTGAACAAAGCAAAGCATTGCCTCAAATTGGATGGCATTTTGCCAATACTTAATTGAAGTGCAGGCCAAATAGCACTCTCAGATTTTCTTAAATTCCAAATTTCGTTGTCTCTCACAAATTCCCATTCCTCTCTTTTATCTTTCAAAAATAGTCAACATCCTAATGTCCTCACCGCCAAGGCACCCCTCTGCATTTTTTCACAATTTCTCTCCCAATATTTACCAAATATGGATGCCTTTTCTCTTGTCCTTCTTTAAATGCCCATTTGACAAACAGAGACAATGAATCCTCCTCAGAAAGGCCTTCTAAAATGTAAGAGGGAACCGTGCCCATCATGGAAGCCGTCAAGTGACTGCGTGTAGTCACTAAAATTTTACTTCCTGCAGCACGTACTTGTATTAGATTCCTCAACTCAACCCATTTAACAAGATCTTCATTCCACACGTCATCCAAGACTAATAAGAATTTTTTATTGGCAAGTTTGTTTCTTAATTGACTTTGCAGTTGCTCCATATCTACCTTTTCTAAATTTTGTTGGTGACCAGAATCATTATCAGAATTGATGATTTTAATAATCTCGTGTTTAACTTCAAAGTCATTAGAAACACAAACCCACATCCTCAATGGGAACAACTCGTGTATCTTCCTATCATTGAAAACAAACTTTGCTGATGTGGTCTTTCCCAAGCCTCCAATCCCGACAATGGGGATAATAGAGAGACTTTTGTCATTATTATTCAGATTCTTTTGCATCAAAAGCTTTATAATATTTTCTTTATCATGATTTCTTCCTATGACATCCGAATCAACAACGTAGGAGTATGTCATATCCCTCCTATGTACAACAAATCTATCAACATCAATTGTTTCAAGACCAAACTTATGTCTGTCTGCAGCAACCTTGTCTAGTCTCTTATTGATTTTTTTTATCTGTTGAGCCATTCTATAATGAAAAACAAGTGGATTAGAACTTGAGAAGAAATGTGCTACCTTGATTGTGGCGCTTCCCTGAGCTTGGACTACTTGCTTTCTTAATAATTCACACTCAAATTCATCCAACACATTTTCGGCATCAGAAAAGACATGTTTGATCTGCTTCAGCCATTCTCGCAGCTCATAATTCTCCCGCTGCTTTTTCTCAGCGTCTAACAGCACAGCCTTGACTAATGAGAGAGTTTGTGTAAACTCTTGCAGACGGTGGTATACCCCCAGCACCTGTGAAGTTTCTTCATATGTCCGAGATGCAAGCTTTGCTATGAGTGATTCTGCGATGCTGAAGAGGAGTAATTCAGCCATAATTATCAGGAAATTGCAACAGTGGAAGGGATTTCTTGAACAACCAGTGTATGAAATTTCTGTAAGAAGTTAAGTTGATAGCAACTGTTTTTGACTTTGGAGGGATTACAGGTGTTGCGTTGACCAGAGTCAATAAAAGATATTTGGCAGTGCTATTGTCATACACCAAACGATAATAAGTGTAGTCTTTAAGAAAATAAATTTAATTAATTATATATAAACAGATAAGGTTTGGATTTGAGTCTACTATAGCCACGTGGGCTAAAACTTGCCACTAGATTTAAAATTGTATTTTTAAATGACAACAAATTTGAAAATGAAAAAAAAGTAAAATATGTAATTAAGAGAGGGATTTAACTGAGTGTAATAACTTTTCAACGTTTAGCAGAAAAAGTATCATGTGAATGGTGAATTAATGCGATGTCATAATCCCACTTATGATTTGTGCCCAAGGCAAATTATAAATCTGCTATAATCTATGCACATTTTACTGACTATTGGCCTCATTTAAGAGAACAGTGATCTATTTTATTCGCATATGGTATTGTTGTCTACATTACCTTGTCTCCTGTTGTAAATTCATTAATACATTTTCATCTCATCTTTTCCCTCAACATCTGGGTCCAATGGTAAGGAGTATGATCCTAAGTGTGAGGGTCTTGGGAGATAACTTCTCCATAAGCAGAGTAAAACAAGGAGTAAAATATGAAACTAGCTTCTCTATAAGTTAAGACTGGATCATGTATGAGTTAAATCAGATTTTGGAAAAACTAATAAGAAACAATATCTCCGCAGTGTTATGAAGAAATTTCCCCTAATATACCTTCACTATTCAAGATCTCTTAACATCAAACTAAGACATTATTGATCACATATATACAAGGGAGTAGGAATGTTATTGAGACTTTTATGGCTAAATTCATAGAAGTGATGATTATATACTCACAGACCTAAAGCCAGAATGTAAGCAATGTATCAACCGATCATCCTTTCTGAAGAATGGGAGACAATTTTATCTCATCTTAAATACCTTGACTTTTAAGGCCAACTAACTAATATTTACTTTCATGCCGCTACTTGGGCTATGCATGAAGCAGGAAGCCTGGAACAGTTGCAAGGAATACCCTCCAAGATTCAGATAGTCAATGAAGAATGGTCCACAAAAATTACATCAAAATTTATTACTGACTAATCACACTTCTAATAATCCTTTTTTACAATTCTAGGAATGAATACTCAGCATAATACTGAAATGTTTCAGGTCAAAACTGAGATGTTTACTTATTGAAGTGGCAAGGACACTATTATTTATTACCCAATTGGAGTTTATTTAGTAATCCTCTGTAAATTTCATATATGTGGAACAGGAAAGGTTTACTGTCAAGTTGCATGAATAACCGTGTACACGTACCAGTATGAGTACGAGATTTTATAACATTTCTAAAATAATGAATATGAACACCGTAGGATATATTAAATGAAAAGAAAAAAAACTAAGTGATTAAATCTTCACATAAATATAATTTTGGCAATGTTCTAATTGATATAACAGAAGTATTTAATAAGAAACAAGTTCTAAAACGCCTACAATTGATATTCATTCAGTAGCAAACCATACTTTTCAATAAAAAAACTCTGCTTTATATGAATTGAATTATACTTGAGTGACAAGTGAATGTTTGATATTTATTCATGTATAAAAATACGTTCTGGCAATTAAAAACTTCATTCATAAAATATTTGTGCTTTAGAACAATCATCCATAAAACGTAAATCAAAACACATTAAAAAAGGGCTTGAGAACAACAATCTGCATTTCAGAAACCCAGAAAAAAGGAAAGGAAAGGCCTTCAACATTTATCAAGGTTACTGAAGCTTTCCACTTCCTCAAATTCTTCTTCTACTTCCACTTACTTCTATTCCAAATCTTTTGTTTCAACAATGCTAATCCGTTTGATGTGTGATATTTGGTTCCAATACTCTCCAACTTGCAGCGTGAATTTTCTGAATAATTCAGGACAGTCTATGATTTCCAAACGTTCAAGGGCAGTGAGGCAATTGATGCCATCTGGAAGACAACGCAACTTCGGACAATCTGCAATATCAAGTGCTTTCAGACAAGATAGCATTGACAGCCAATCAGGAAGCGCCTCAAGATTGTGGCAGTGTTCTAGCCTCAAGGATAGTAATGTGTTTACAGATCCTTGAAGCCAATGAGGTAATGTCCCTAGCTGTGGCAGTGAAGTAAATAGTATTGTTTTTAACTTTAAGTTGAAGTTCTGGTCTTCATGACCCTTGGACAATTCCAACTCGTCACAAATCCTAAGACACAAAATCTCTAATGCAGGAAAATGTTTACTGTCAAGTGGTAAAGACTCTAGTCTCTTACAGCTACTAACATTCAATGCTTTCAGAACAGGAAGTTCTATCCCTGAGAATAAAGACTTCACGTTATCACAACTTTCAATAGTCAAATATTGAAGAGAACTCAAGTTTGAAATGTCATTCTCGGGCAAAACAGCTTGCTTTGTGGTGATGACAAAATCTCGGAGACTGATCAATTTTCTTAATCCTTTGGGTAATGCTTCCAGTTCCTGGCATCCACCAAGGTCCAACACTTGCAAACTTTGAAGCTCACAAATAGAATCAGGGAGTCTCCTAATTTTCTTATTATTATAAAGACTGAGAGATCTTAAATGTTTTAACTTCCCAATGAAATGAGGTAAAGTTTCAACTGTAGAATAACTTAAATCCAAAATACGCAAGTATTTGTACCTTGAAACCAATGAAAAGAAAGTTTCACTCTTGGCTCCCACACCAGCCTTAGGAAATAGAATGGTTCTCACACCTACTGATTTTGCACTGAATGATTTTCCATCCAAATCGCTTTCAAGAAAAGACAGATGACGAACACTCTCAGGTATACTTCGAATGTGGGAATTTACAAGTAGACACTCGTCTTTTGCAACAAACAGGGCTAGATCATGCACTAGATCATGTATTTTAAATGTATAGGTTGTCCCATAGTTGACAAAATCTTGAATAAAAGATCTTGACAGTAGTTCATAGAAATACTGGTCGGCAATATCTTCTTGTGTCATATTGTTTTTTAGAGACACAAGGAGTCCGAGTGCTCCCCAAAGAGTAGTTACCTCAAAATTAACGAATTCATAATCCTTTGGATAAAGGGAAAACAAAGCAAAGCATTGCCTCAAATAGGATGGCATAAGATCATAACTTAATTTGAGTGCAGGTAAAATATCCTCTCTTTTCTGTGACAAATTCCAAATTTCATTGTCTCTCACATATTCCCACTCATTTGCCTCAAATTTGGAAAATAGTAAACTCCCTAATGTTCTCACTGCCAATGGAACCCCTCTGCATCTTTTCACGATATCTCTGCCAATATTTACCAACTGAGGATAGTTTTCCTCTTCTCCTTCTTTAAATGCCCATTTGATAAACAGAGACAAGGAATCCTCCAGGGAAAGACCTTGTAAAATGTGAGAGGAAACCGTCCCCATTAAAGATGCAATGGAGTGACTACGTGTAGTCACTAGAATTTTACTTCCTGCAGCAGCACCAACTTGTATTAAATTCCTCAACTCAACCCATTTAACACGGTCTTCATTCCATACGTCGTCCAAGACGAGTAAGAATTTTTTACCAGCAAGTTTGTTTCTCAATTGATTCTGCAGCTGCTCCATGTCTAGTATGTTCAAATTCTGTTGGCCATCATGAGCATGAGCGAGTGACGCAGAATCATTAGCCGAATTGATGATTTTAACAATCACTTGCTTAATGTCGAAGTCTTCAGAAACACACACCCACATCTTCAATAGGAAACACTCGTTTATTCTGTCATCATTAAACACAAACTTTGCAAGTGTGGTCTTTCCCAAACCTCCCATCCCCACTATGGGGATCACAGAGAGACTTTGATCATCATCAATGGGATTCTTTTGCATCAAAAAATGTATAATCTTTCCTTTGTCATGCTCCCTTCCAATAACATCAGAATCACTAACATGGGAGTGTGTCATCTCTCTCCGATGCACCACACGTCTATCAACATCAATTGTTTGAAGACCAAATTTATGCCTATCAGCTGCGACCTTGTCTAGTCTCTGGGTGATATCTTTTATTTGTTGACTCATCTTGTAACGAAAAACAAGTGGATTAGAGCTTGAGAAGAAGCGATCTACCTTGGTTATGGTGGTACCATGAGCTTTGACAACTTGTTTTTGTAGTATTTGGCACTCAAATTCATCGAGCACATCTTCCGCATCACAGAAGACACGTTTGAGCTGCCTCAGCCATTCCCGCAGCTCATAGTTATGCTCCTGCTTTTGCTCAGCATCCAACAACACAGCCTTGACTAATGAGAGAGTATGTGTAAACTCTTGCAGATGGTGGTACAAACCCATCACCCGAGAAGCTTCTTCATAAAGTTGAGACGCAAGCTTTGCTATGAGTGAGTCCGCGATTCTGAAGAGAAATGTTTCGGCCATGATGATGAACCCAAACACCAGAGATCTGAACAACGCGCAAAACTCGTGTCAAAGTCAACTTTTGTACCCACTGGAATAAATTCATCCTTGTTTCATCATCTATTTTGCTTTTCCACCTCTTTTTATTCTCATAAAAATTGCATATAATAATGAGTCTTCTGGCATGGCTTTTAATTTAAAATTAGATTTTTGTTTTAGTAATTTATGTTTATCTTCCATGTCCATATTTACTATGTGAATTTAAACAACTCTGCATGTTATTCTAATTAAGATAAAATGAAAAATCAAGAAGATAAATAATAATAAAATGGTAATGATCTTTTGGTGTGTTTGAATCATAAATAGTTAACAATTTAGTATGTAAAGGAGTTTCTAATTTATGTAAAACTTACACAATTATGTTTAGTAAACTTTATTGAGCATTTTATTGTAATGTTTAAAAACTAGTTTGCTTTTAAATTATATGATTTAATTAAGAATTAATTTTAT